TGGAAAGTGGACGATGGGATGTACTAGTAATCGTTGGGCGTAAGGATTGGGAGACGGCCATGTGCCGGTGTCAGTAACTACGTGATACTTCAGTATAAAACTGATATCACGTGGGGTAAATTTGAGATCAGCACGCCATCTATTATGTATCAAGCAGCGATCGCTTCTCGCGTTAAAGGTTGATACCGTTTCTAATGAAAGTAACGCGAGCCGTTTGTCCAGGAGCAAAAAACAAAATAATGTTGGATCGATAACGTTGTATGTTTAGATTTTACTACTAAACCATTCTAACTAAGCATCTCACTGTCATTTATGACAACACGCCTACATCACTTTCTTTGCTAAAAATCCAAGATGTCGGAATGTATCCGTTTAATACCGAATATTTAGCTTTATAACCTCTTCAATGATGACATTATAATAACTAACTCTACACCACAGCTGGTAAGTTGTTAGCTTCATGCTACACGACACGACACGAAATTGGATAGAAGTTTTCAACATTGATTCACAATGCAATACAAACTGTATATTCCTGAAATTGAAAAAGTCTGTATCACAGACCCCACGGAATCTTCTGGGATACGAGGGCATTAGAGATAGTAATTTGTCCAGAAATAAAATAACGAAACATTTAACTAATAGCTGCTTTAACGAACACTCTATTTAAGGAGCTGGTAGTTGCATCGTGTTCCGGCCATTTATGCCATGGTATCATTATTTTCCTAATGACAGTCAGTTGCCAGTCATGTAGTGATCACTTTGAGTATCTAGAAAATTGCGCATTGTTTACATTTCCAAAGTCAATACTTCCTTAAAATCATATGGCGATTATCGTCTGTGTCACCAAAAGATGTGTATTGAAACCTGAGGAGCTGGTCCTTTCGATAACATATATAATTGTATGACTTTGCTTTCAATGCTAATTGTGACATAATTTGCAGTAAGGTATGTTTATTCCATGAAATCTCATAGTAAACACCGAATGTCTGTAAGTACAGGTGCGTGGTCATTTATCGGGTAAAATTCTTTCATTTGCTGGTAATCATATTACAGGTAATTGTTGTGTTTCAAGTAGTCATGGTCACAATTCAGGTAAACACAAAGTTTCATGTGCCCCTGATAACATCACATTTCGCAGCAGCATGCCTGTGATAATGACGATTCATGTGATCATGACCATATCAAAAGTAACAATATTGTACGTGCTCATAATCACGTTACAGGTAATACATCATCGCACGTGCTTGAAACGTCGGGTTGCACTGTTGTTTATTGTTATACATTGAAATCAGAGATGGAGGCTATGTTAAGATCAGTGATGAAAGTTATGTTAAGGTCAGTGATGAAAGTTATGTTAAGGTCAGTGATGAGGGTTATGTTAAGGTCAGTGATGAAGGTTATGTTAAGGTCAGTGATGAAGGCTATGTTAAGATCAGTGATGAAAGTTATGTTAAGGTCAGTGATGAAGGTTATGTTAAGGTCAGTGATGAAGGTTATGTTAAGGTCAGTGATGAAAGTTATATTAAGGTCAGTGATGAAGGTTATATTAATGTCAGCGATCAAAGTTATATTAAGGTCAGCGATGAAGGTTATATTAATGTCAGCGATGAAGGTTATGCAAAGAACAATGAGAATATTGTCGACTCATTACGTGACAAAATGCAAACATGTACAATGTAAGCGAGATGTAACCAGTGTCCTACTTCGTTAATATTTATGCCATACAAACTCCACTTCGAAGTACGGTGGCTGGGAACGGACTTTATAAAAATAATCACTATATCCGACCGAAACTTAGTGTGTGCGGACGACTTTTTTCCTTTAGAACACAAAAATATCTAGTAACAATAGTCCGCTAGAAGACAATAGTCATTTGTACATGGTGTCCATTTCCTGCCACCGTTCAAAGGAATCTGAGTGGGCAATAGGTATTTTAAAAATTCATTTGACCCCCACCAGCAATTGGCGCCTGGTGTGTTCCATCATATGAAGCTGTAGCCATACTTGACGAAACAGGCAGTAGACCTCTACCTACAGGCGCGTCTCGTCCTTTGATGTCTGTGACCAGGTGTACACCAAGGTGCTCTGTACGACCTAGTGGTAGAATATGGCAAGGTAATCAATCGCTTTCTTACTAATGACTAGGCACTGGAACCTTACTCGCAAGGGCTTCCTCGGCTTGAAGTCATCACAATAGTCTAGCTGAACATAGCTCCACACAGATTCAGGAAACACCTCTTAATAGGAAATAAGAACGGGATGAAACTCCTGTCAATATGTATTGAATCTTATACAGCGTGTTGTTATTTGGAAACCATATCATATTTGACGTACAGAAACATGTTTTCGAAGAAAGAGCGTAATTTTGAGAAGATGCATGACCAAGATATGATGGATGATGGACAATAATTGACATTTCTTTTTCTTGTCCCCGGATCGACAGGTTATTTATATATTATCTGTTTGTTTTTTCTGTCTGTTTGTCTGTAGTGAACTTTAGCCTTGCCCATAAATCTTGCATCGCAAGTAGGTAGAGCTTTCATATTTGGCATTTGTGTTCCTTGTGACAAGACCTTTCCGGTTGTACCATTGACCACGTGACCTTGACCGTGACCATTGACCTACATTTGAAAAGCTTTGACCTGAACTATTGAACAATGAAGACATACGTGTTACACAAAGTGGGCATGCAATCAACACATGCCTTACACATTACCGTATTAATGTCGCATTTTAGAATTTCGTTTTAACTGGAGGCATAATATTTCATAAACACATTTTTCTAAAAAAGACGAAAAAGTCACAAAAATGCTTAAATAGGAAAAAATAAAACCTTGCCAAAGTCAAAAGGATATAACGAAAACAGTTAAACAGAAGTGAAAAAAGATGTCAAAACATGAATTAAAATCTTTCTTGCTGCGGTTTGATGCGTTTTCGGTTTGTAGCTTTGGTAGATTTTTGTTCTTTCTGCTTTAGCTTTAGTTTTCTTCTGGTTTTAATGAAAATAATACGATACTGGACTACAGCGCTTAACAGAGTCACAACAATGCTTTAGTGTTGATATCTTAACAGGGTCACAACAATGCTTTAGTGTTGGCATTTTAACAGGGTCACAACAATGCTTTAGTGTTGATATCTTAACAGGGTCGCAACAATGCTTTAGTGCTGACAGTTTAACAGGGTCACAACAATGCTTTAGTGTTAATATCTTAACAGGGTCACAACAATGCTTTAGTGTTGGCATTTTAACAGGGTCACAACAATGCTTTAGTGTTGATATCTTAACAGGATCGCAACAATGCTTTAGTGTTGACAGTTTAACAGGGTCACAACAATGCTTTAGTGTTAATATCTTAACAGGGTCACAACAATGCTTTAGTGTTGGCATTTTAACAGGGTCACAACAATGCTTTAGTGTTGATATCTTAACAGGGTCGCAACAATGCTTTAGTGTTGACATTTTAACAGGGTCACAACAATGCTTTAGTGTTAATATCTTAACAGGGTCACAACAATGCTTTAGTGTTGATATCTTAACAGGGTCGCAACAATGCTTTAGTGTTGACATTTTAACAGGGTCACAACAATGCTTTAGTGTTAGTATCTTAACAGGGTCACAACAATGCTTTAGTGTTGACATTTTAACAGGGTCACAACAATGCTTTAGTGTTGATATCTTAACATATAATCTCTTTATTCAATAAATACCTGTGGAATAGTATTGCGTATTATACATGTTTGATATTTAACGTATTAGGGTCCCAGGTATAGATAATGACATGACGTCACACACAGAGAGACCATACAATATTTGCATGAATCTGAAAAATGATTTATAAAACTCTTCACATTTTTATTAAAATGTCTTTGATTGTTTGATAAATCACATACCGTACAGAAATTCGTGTAAAATCCCTTTACATGAAGCATGTAACAGCAGTATAAATGCCATGCTATTCACAAACCCCTAGCATGTATTTCTTATTTCAGAGTAGTTTACCGCACATACATTGGTATAATAGGAACAAGACAAAGTGAATAGATAGACTACAAACTGTACATAAACATACACTAAGTATGACTTATAATAACACATTATGTATAATCGCTCTTAGTTTAACACTGTACTGATGACCCCCAATCCTCTACTGACAGTTCCAGAACTTCAGACTTGTAAAAATACACCCCAGGACGAAAACATTGTGATTGGACGTTGGCCATCTGTTTGCTATAAAGAATCCAACAGAGGCTAGTGTTTAGCTTTGTATACGGCGATTACATTACAGATATACCTTATAATCTTATACGTGCCTGCTTCAACTGACTGTATAAATGTCCATCATTCCACATCGGAACGTCGAATTGCCCGTACATTGGTGGCAATCGTGTTTTAACAACGAAAGGGTAAATTCCAACGGTGTTATCAAATTATATTTCATATAATTTTAACATTTTAAACATTTTTTTTCTCTTTTTTTTTTCGAACTATTATCTGGATCAAGTGACCTTGATGTCGACCAATTCTATCTTGTACACAAATACACATCATATTTAATTCGCTTTACTTACAGTTGAATATGATTTATAACGGTTTCCAAAAGACAGAGCATAGCTTCGAGCGCGGATAATACTGGCCTCACACGTGATACATCGATCACGACAGCCTGTAGTTCTCACAGGCATACACCTATATTACAATACATATTGTACGTGTTAAATAAAAGGAATTCGCGAAAAAAGTGCCACAGCGATAACCATGTGTTTCTACAGTACATTAATGTTTATAGTGTGATTATACGATAAAATGCAGTCGTTATCGCGATTTCTGAACAGTTGCTTCAGCTAAATTCAAATATAAAAGTAATGAGAACATTTTAGGAAGATATATCGGTTAGTAAGTAACATTTCGGGACTTCCCGGTGCTTTTCGCAATGTCCATTTATATTGTTTCGGTGACATGCAGAAACGTATCAATACTAAAACAAAATGAGACTTACCAAGACTGGTATCGAATCCTCCTAGGTATTCCGAAGTTGTGAATTGTCTCACCATACAACTTTTACCAGTTCCTTCTGGGCCCACTACAAGAACCCTAAACGGCACAGCAGTTCCACCAGAACCTGTACTATTCCCAAAACTACTCTGTGACAGGGAACTAGATGTCCTCGATAGACAACCCATTTCACTCCCCGACGAGAGAATGCTATTTGTACTTCGGGACCTAAGGGAGTCTCCCCGATTTATGATCCCTTTTGGAGTGAGCTCGAATGTCCGTAGTCTGTAGAAGTCTGTATCATTATCGTCGTCCGCACATCCTTCCGACGTATGACGTAATGACCCGAGATTCGGTTTTTTATATGTACTTTTGGTAGGAAGACTGCTGGTTCGAGGGCGAATATCAAGATCGAACACCTCCAAGCTTTTCTTTTTTGATTTCTTGACAGACGATGACCTACACCTTGGTCTTGGCGAAACGTTTAGCATATTAAAATTGACCTCCCCTAGTAGGGGACTTGGAACCCTGTGTCTGTAAGGACTGTTATTATAGTCCTTTTGACCACAGGTTGTGTCCCCCTCGCTTACTTCATCAACAGTCAAAAACGTCATTGGACATGAAGACATTTTACCGAAAATATCAAATAAAATTCATCAAATCAAAATATTCGCTCACAGTTTCATGTAATCAATCAATCCTAGAACACAGAATAATTGATAAAATCTACACTGCATTCCTTTTACATTCTAATCCATATGTATTTCACAAAAGGAAACGAAAGTTATAAAAGCAATGCATGATTGCAATACACTGATTCTGAAAGACAAGGTGTTTTATGTTATACGCCGTGTCAACAGGTAAAAGTTCCTCGAGTGTCGCCTGACCGTGTGCTCCATGAAAACTGCTGTCTGCTAGCTGTGCTGCTGTCGTTGACAGTGTGTGTACAGGGAGGAACACAGAAAGGAGGGTCCGCCTCACTTTGTTGACATTCTGAGTATTTAATGACGTCGCGCACACAAATAATCTATGTTCAATATCCGAAGTGTGACTGGTGATCTGGTGTCCATTAGCACGTATCCTCCTGTCACTCGTCTATGTAGACTTGTTTGTAAACAAACTTCTGTAATATCGTACTCACGTTGTCACGTGTAAACCCTTCACTCTCAGCCAATTGCAATACATACCTTGCTGTCAAACGTACTTGTGACATCGATGACAACAATGTTGCTTGGCTGCTTTTGTAACGATTTCCTCTATTGGCTACATTTTGGTTGATGCTTTGCTTACATTCCATTGGTTTGTCGTTTTGATGACGTTCACTATCATTCCAGTAACACGTTAGATGTGTCTTGATTCGCCGCGCGCAGTAAAAGCTTGCTGCAGTGACTGTTTGTACCTGCTATGAGACGGAGCAGACGTTTACCGCGATGAGTGAAGCGTTGAAAGCACGCTCGCTCATTTTTAGTTTCCTACCGAGAGTTATCGATGGTTAAATAACGTTAGGTTTATTAGGCATCGTTCGGGATTATAACCTAATTTCCTTTCACAATGTGCCACTAACGACACAGCTTCTAATGTTCTGGTGGTTGATGCAGGCGGTATCACGAAACGATTGCATTTAGAAGGTTACCTGGACCTGAGGTCTACATGGTAGCTGGACCATTGAACGACATAAAATAAGCCTCGTACCTTGCCTAAGCCGAAGTGACAAAATTAGACACCGTGTTGTAAACAATAACGTGACAATATCAGACGTCGTGTTGTAGACAATCACGTGACAGTATCAGACGTCGTGTTGTAGACAATCACGTGACAGTATCAGACGCCGTGTTGTAGACAGTAACGTGACAGTATCAGACGTCGTGTTGTAAACAATAACGTGACAGTATCAGACATCGTGTTGTAGACAGTAAAGTGACGGTGTTGTACACAATAACGTGACTGTATCAGATGTCGTGTTGTAGACAATAACATGACATATCAGACGTCGTGTTTTAGACAATCACGTGACAGTATCAGATGTCGTATTGTAGACAATAGCATGACAGTATCAGACGTCGTACTGTAGACAATCACGTGACAGTATCAGACGTCGTGTTGAGGACAATAACATGTCAATACCAGACGCCGTGTTGTAGACAATCACGTGACAGTATCAGACGCCGTGTTGTAGACAATAACATGTCAATACCAGACGCCGTGTTGTAGACAATAACATGACAGTATCAGACGTCGTAATGTAGACAATCACGTGACAGTATCAGACATCGTATTGTAGACAATCACGTAACAGTGTTGTAAACAATAACGTGACAGTATCAGATGTCGTGTTTTAGACAATCACGTGACAGTATCAAATGTCGTGTTGTAGACAATAGCATGACAGTATCAGACGCCGTGTTGTAGACAATCACGTGACAGTATCAGACGTCGTGTTGAAGACAATCACGTGACAGTAACAGACGTCGCGTTGTAGACAATAACATGTCAATACCAGACGCCGTGTTGTAGACAATCACGTGACAGTATCAGACGCCGTGTTGTAGACAGTAACGTGACAGTATCAGACGTCGTGTTGTAAACAATAACGTGACAGTATCAGACATCGTGTTGTAGACAGTAAAGTGACGGTGTTGTACACAATAACGTGACTGTATCAGATGTCGTGTTGTAGACAATAACATGACATATCAGACGTCGTGTTTTAGACAATCACGTGACAGTATCAGATGTCGTATTGTAGACAATAACATGTCAATACCAGACGCCGTGTTGTAGACAATCACGTGACAGTATCAGACGCCGTGTTGTAGACAATAACATGTCAATACCAGACGCCGTGTTGTAGACAATAACTTAACAGTATCAGACGTCGTGTTGTAAACAATCACGTGACAGTATTAGACGTCGTGTTGTAGACAGTAACATGACAATTTCAGACGTCGTATTGTAGACAATCACGTGACAGTATCAGACGTCGTGTTGTAGACAATAACATGTCAATACCAGACGCCGTGTTGTAGACAATCACGTAACAGTGTTGTAAACAATAACGTGACAGTATCAGATGTCGTGTTTTAGACAATCACGTGACAGTATCAAATGTCGTGTTGTAGACAATAGCATGACAGTATCAGACGCCGTGTTGTAGACAGTAACGTGACAGTATCAGACGTCGTGTTGAAGACAATCACGTGACAGTAACAGACGTCGCGTTGTAGACAATAACATGTCAATACCAGACGCCGTGTTGTAGACAATAGCATGACAGTATCAGACGCCGTGTTGTAGACAATCACGTGACAGTATCAGACGTCGTGTTGAAGACAATCACGTGACAGTAACAGACGTCGCGTTGTAGACAATAACATGTCAATACCAGACGCCGTGTTGTAGACAATCACGTGACAGTATCAGACGCCGTGTTGTAGACAATAACATGACATATCAGACGTCGTGTTTTAGACAATCACGTGACAGTATCAGACGCCGTGTTGTAGACAGTAACGTGACAGTATCAGACGCCGTGTTGTAGACAATCAAGTGACAGTATCAGACGCCGTGTTGTAGACAATCACGTGACAGTATCAGACGTCGTGTTGTAGACAATCACGTGACAGTATCAGACGTCGTGTTGTAGACAATAACATGACAGTATCAGACATCGTGTTGTAGACAGTAACGTGACAGTATCAGACGTCGTGTTGTAGACAATAACATGACATATCAGACGCCGTGTTGCAGACAATAACATGACAGTATCAGACGTCGTGTTGTAAACAATAACATGACAGTATCAGACGTCGTGTTGTAGACAGTAACGTGACAGTATCAGACGCCGTGTTGTAGACAATAGCATGACAGTATCAGACGTCGTATTGTAGACAATAACATGACAGTACAAGACGTCGTGTTGTAGACAATCAGGTGACAGTATCCGACGTCGTGTTGTAGGCAATAACATGACAGTATCAGACGTCGTATTGTAGACAATCACGTGACAGTATCAGACGCCGTGTTGTAGACAATAACATGACATATCAGACGTCGTGTTGTAGACAATCACGTGACAGTATCAGACGCCGTGTTGTAGACAGTAACGTTACAGTATCAGACGCCGTGTTGTAGACAATAACTTAACAGTATCAGACGTCGTGTTGTAGACAATAACATGACAATACCAGACGCCGTGTTGTAGACAATAACTTAACAGTATCAGACGTCGTATTGTAGACAATCACGTGACAGTATCAGACGCCGTGTTGTAGACAATAACATGACATATCAGACGTCGTGTTGTAGACAATAACTTAACAGTATCAGACGTCGTTTTGTAGACAATCACGTGACAGTATCAGACGCCGTGTTGTAGACAATAACATGACATATCAGACGTCGTGTTGTAGACAATCACGTGACAGTATCAGACGCCGTGTTGTAGACAGTAACGTGACAGTATCAGACGCCGTGTTGTAGACAGTAACGTGACAGTATCAGACGCCGTGTTGTAGACAATAATATGACAGTATCAGACGCCCTGTTGTAGACAATAACATGACAATACCAGACGCCGTGTTGTAGACAATAACTTAACAGTATCAGACGTCGTATTGTAGACAATCACGTGACAGTATCAGACGCCGTGTTGTAGACAATAACATGACATATCAGACGTCGTGTTGTAGACAATCACGTGACAGTATCAGACGCCGTGTTGTAGACAGTAACGTGACAGTATCAGACGCCGTGTTGTAGACAATAATATGACAGTATCAGACGTCGTATTGTAGACAATAACTTAACAGTATCAGACGTCGTATTGTAGACAATCACGTGACAGTATCAGACGTCGTGTTATAGACAATCACGTGACAGTATCAGACGCCGTGTTGTAGACAATAACGTGACAGTATCAGACGCCTTGTTGTAGACAGTAACGTGACAGTATCAGACGCCGTGTTGTAGACAGTAAAGTGACAGTATCAGACGCCGTATTTTAGACAATCATGTGACAGTATCAGACGTCGTGTTGTAAACAAGCACGTGACAGTATCAGACGTCGGGTTGTAGACAGTAACGTGACAGTATCAGACGCCGTGTTTTAGACAATCACGTGACAGTATCAGACGTCGTGTTGTAAACAATCACGTGACAGTATTAGACGTCGTGTTGTAGACAGTAACGTGACAATATCAGACGTCGTATTGTAGACCATAACGGGACAGTATTCTACGCCGTTTCCAGAGACTGGTTAGCTACATTTATTTTCCGTAAAATTACTTGATTTTAGTTTCAATACAGTGGTTTTGAATGGAATTGAGCGTTGGATTCCGGGAACAACAGTTGAAGATATCCAAAAATGGAGACCGCTGTCGGATATGTGGATTCAAACTGTAATGTAGACACCTGCGTTATTTTCAATAATCTAGTGAGAGTAAAAATGCAAAGTAGCCTTGACCTTTTACCGCGGTGGTCAAGTGGTTAAGGTGTCGGACCGTCTATATCACTAGCCCTCCACCTCTGGGTCACGGGTTTGGGGTCTACATCGGGCAGTTGCCAGGTACGTGAATTATTATGACTGTTGATAGGATGTAAAGCAACACTGAACCGATATGAAAATGGATGT